TTCTCTATTTTGTGGAATTGAAATATAAATCAGAGTGTATGTTATTGCTTCTAAACATGGTCAAACATTTTTGAAAGTTTATTATTTATTATTATTATTATTATTATTACTTATATTGCGCTTTTCCCATGAGGCCCAAAGCGCTTACAGTGAATGAAAATCGAAATTACATGAATAAGAACAAAAAAAATATAACTACAAACTGCAAAAAAGAGAGTGTTTTTAAAGCCTTTCTGAAGGTAATAACTGATGGAGACTGCCTAATTCTACATGTAAGTTGTAGATAATTTCAGTTTTTTGAAGCAGATACAGTTACTGGTAACAAAAACTGTTTAAAAAACTGTGCTTTGCATTGTACATGTTAATACAATATTAACTATCCAGTTAGATGACAAATGTACATGTACCTACATGTACAGTATGTACATGTTTGCAGTACAGGTAGGAGGAAATATTTTCACCCACAATTAATTTAACATTTCAGTGACAGTTTTAGTAAATATTTACAGAACTGACATCTCAATTCGGTTAAATGGACATACCTGTTAATATGCCCATGTTGCTTTAATAGATGATCTATACAATGGGAAGAGATCAGCCAAAAGGAAAAAAATTGCACTGGTATTTTAATCCGCTTTGCATTCAATGACCCATTGCAAAAGTCAAAACAACTCAATCAACAAATAGTCAGACTGATTTCGTAGTCGTATTCCTATTTACACTATTTGCCCGGTAGGTTTTTTTTTTTAATTCCATGAACTGGAAGTTCCATGAACTGTACAAAATGTGTTTTGTCATTTGCTTCCCCAGGGCCCATAGTATACAAATAATGAATGGTTATGAGTTCAATAGTGCGAATATTTTCATGAGTTGAAAGATTAACATTCTATTCAACGAGGCGTCAGCCGAGTTGAATAGAATTAATGTTAATCTTTCAACGAATGAAAATATTCGCACCATTGAACGAATGAAAAACATTCATTATTTGTTTTATACAACATCGAAGAAGATCTAACAGAACGTTAATCAACAAATTATGCTTTACTCCTTAAATTCAAGTTGGATTCAAGCCTTCTCGATTACATTCAGATTGCCTACGCGTCAGATACACGCAGTGATACGCGCGCGCACGGCAGAGAGGTACGCAGTCTGCATATAACCAAAAATGCACGGCGCATATAACCAAAAATGCACGACCGTGCAATATACCATCTATTGAATATCATGTGACCAACAATCCTCCAATCAAATGACAGGGATCCACGTAGGTGTTGTATAAAGTAGAATAAGAGTAGAATAAACAAAAATATGAATATTGCAGTGTAATTCTTCCTTTTCCAGGTATACACTGTATAACAAAAATATGATTTTGGTAATGTCCGGAGAACGTAATTTCAGAAGAATGAGTTATTTTAGTGTAATATTTGAAGATGACAGACTACTGAGAGACATGGCGTGTGTACATGCCTTCAACTTTTTTCTTTCTTTCTTTTTTGCTTAGTTTTGAAACATGTTTTTATACCCTTGGGTAAAATTGAAATAGTTGGAAATTAGAAGAAATGTTCTCTATATCCACAAACAAGTACTATCTGTAAAGGAATGTGCTCTTGGAGAATCTATTTTTAGGCAGGTATTAATCTGTGCCCTTCGGATATCCTCTAGATAGTTGAGAGAACATTGGTATCGGCGTACAAAGTGCAACAGAAATTCAAGAGAAAAGTTGGATGATAAAAAGGCATTCTTTATGAGATGTAGCATAACTTACAACAACAACAAAATCTGTTTACATAAATACTTGTTTATGGAGTATGTGTTTACTGTACTTTGAAATGTTGTGGGGGGGGGGGGGGTGATTGAACCATTTATTTGACCTTAACTGACACTGTCAATAACAAAAATTATGGGAAGCTAAGTGATTATGTGAACAAATAACATACAGAAAGAACAATTTTTTCTTAAATAGGACATTTGTACATGTAGCTTTTTTTTATTCGGCAGGTTCCACTGCATGTTTCTCTAATCCGATTTCAATTGTAACTCACAGAATGATGATGATAATGTTAATAACAATATACCATGATATTAAAGGCGCTTGGAAGCATTCAAGGAATTTTTCTACTACATTATGTATACATGTAGGTACCCAGTCACTACACCTGGGTGGAGAGTGGCAAATGCAGATTAATATCTTGCCAAATAATTATTTTAATGATTCTGTGCAATCTTCCTTTTTTTTTGTCATTTGAATTTGGAATATAGCACTATTCAACCGTAGGAGGAGAAGAAAGAGGAAAAACAGTTGATGAGGTTCAAAAGACTCATATTTCTTTCCTTGATAATGACCTATCATTCAAACCTGCCAACCAGAGAAAGATAAGCTTTCCAGGAAATCACATCAGTTAGCACTTCATTAAGACTCTGGAGTTTGGAACCATGTCTGCTTATATGTTTCAAAGGCCAAAACTTGATAATGTGAAATGTTTGATTTCTGTTTGAGGTCTCGATGATGTCAATTTAGCACTTGGCACTTTGACGTCATGACAAATTTCTTATGATTTCCTTTCTGTTGCTTTAAAGGGACTTGGTACCATTGTTCAGATGAGAGAAAATGGTGCCAAGGTAGTGACTTCAATTCTAGATGTACAATTAAAGATAATCTGAATGTTTGAGTGAAAACGTACCATTATTAATGATGGAAATTGGGGAAAACTTATCTGATAGATTCCTTAATTCTCCCAACTTTATTATTACAATTTAATTTAATTTTAGGTGAATGTGAATTGTCGCAAAGCAATGAATTGGCTCTTTAGCCATTCCAGACATTTAAGAGTTGAAAGATTTTTAAAAGTTTTAGTCCCCTTTAAGACTGATTAAGTGAACAATCTCATCCCAACAATCAGTATATCGACTGGTGCCCCTCAATATGCGGTCAGGGAAAGAGGATTAGCACATTTAATTAATAGCCCAGATAACCATCAGTATAAATAGGGGTAGGATTTGACCATATGTCGCTCATGATCTCTCTGTCTGCTCCGTACTAGTGGTCCATTCACATTAGACAAAATATGGTATAATAAAAGATTGTGTAGATGTAGAATATTATCATGCAATTTGGTGATGAACATACAATGTACAATGCGCGAGATGATGTCGTATAAACCAAAGGAACTAGAAATTCATTTAGTTTTTATGGAGATGTGCAAAGTCCTTTACTTGTTTTAGGGAGACTTGGTGTCTGTTAATGATACTGTTTACTCTATATAATCAAACATACAATCTTTATCTTTATACCCATTTACACAGTCCAAAATTCATTTTGAAAAATCATCAATTTTTCTCATAACAATGCATGCTCAAACCTCCACTGTCAGTCTGTCACAATACAACTTTTGTTTCACTGTATCCTTTCCACACAAGAAAGTATGATGCACTTTAACATTTAGCTAATATACATTAAACATCGTGGAATATTTCTTGTCTGAATGGGGCAAGTAATCGGATTTAAAGCAGGAAGTCTGTATTACAGCGTTTGGGGATAGCATACTCTATTGTGTGAAAGTAATCAAATATTGTTTCACATTCGTTGATATCTGATGCCTAGTTTGATTTTTTTTTTCTTTTTTTTTTTCTTCTTTTTTACATTTCATTCTGTTGGATGGAAAATACAACATCTATTGTATGCATCTGAAAGAGACTAAACATTTTTCAAAAGTTTTCAATTGTATTTTTCATTGAAACCTAGTTCAATTGAACCTTCAAATTATCAATATTTGCAATCATTGAGCCTTGGTGCAATGTCATTTATCGGAAGTGTATACGCCACATTAATTAAAGATTAAAAAAACAAGGGAAACTTTCAGAAGTCTTTTACCCATAACATTAGCAAGGACATTCATCACATGCTTCACAGGAAAAAAAAACAATAGTTCTGTGGTTTTACAAGTAAATGAATCCCGCAAACTTATCTTGATAACCTTTCTGTGATAAAGACATGTTCATCAACCTTTGCACAGCCATTTATTTTGAAAAGGGGTCCATACAAGTCTTTGACCTTGAATCAGGGGCATCTCCAGTATTTTTGTAGAGGAGGGGAGGGGGGGGGGCGGAGTAGAGGTATATATTTTTTTCTTTCAAACTTGCAAACAAGAACAAAAATTTGTAAAGAAGGGGCACATTTTTTGGGTATGTGTACTTAATAAAGTTACTGCTTGGTCTCAAGAGGGGGGGGGGGGGGGTAGCATGAGCTGGTTGTGCCCCTAAAGGCACCTAAACTTGAAGTCTTTGTCTCAAAGATATTTGCTTAGCCATCTGCGTGTCACATTTGTAAATACACACGTTTGTTTGATCAAATGTGTGTGGAGCACTGACCGTAGAAATGTTTGGATACATGTTTGAAATCTAGCACTGTGGGAATTTTACAAGATGAGAGGAGAAACATTTCATGCTTAAAAAGAAAACATTAATAACATCAAAACCCACATACGTATAATTTACTCAGAGTCAGAGTAGTAGATAAGAAAACATTTGTTATTATAAATTAGTGTTGAATAAATACCAGCCTGTGTGTATATGGATATGACAAATTTATGATAGTAATATAAATGTGAACATTTTCAATGATTTTTTTCTTTTTGTCATTACCAACATTACATTTGTACGTATTGAAAATACTAGCTCAGTTTTCTTCTTTTCTGATGTATTAAAATTGCTTTTTTTTTCCTTTTTTTTTTTCCTTTTTTTTTTCTTCATGCAAAACGTTGACCCAATGACGAGCGTGACATGCATGTCCATATGTACTCATACATGTGTTCCTTAAAAAAATGCATTTTAATATTGTAATTCATTTCAAATAACTCAATGAGGGATGGGTTCTTTACAGAAGATGGACATAATAAGCTTTTGAATGTGGGTTTCTTTTTATTTCTCTTTACTCTTTTATTTGTGCTTTACCTTTTTGCATGCAAATAAATAATCACTCAATTTACTTCTTTTCATTTCAGAAACATGCCAAAGCTAAGGAACTATACGACCAAGTCATCTACTCACTAGATGTCATCGAAAAGGATTACTTTGGCCTGAGGTATATGGACACACAACAAGTTCAGGTATGTTTTATTGTAATAAACATTAGGCCTGTCATCATCAGCTCAAGATTTCCAAATAGTCCCGCTATTTGAACTATCCCGATCGCAAATTATCCAGTTAATATGCGTCTTTATCAGCCAGAAGTTGCAAACAGCGGGATATTTAGTTGAGATAATCATCCCAAGGCTAGTTTGCAAAATATCCCGCTATTTGTCCGGTGCGTTTTCACAAAGACTCGCAAGATACGCGAACACTGAGCAAAATATCTCGAGTTCGAGTTTCAAATTTTGAAGTCATGAGCTGATGAAGACGCAATTTGTAACTTCAGGATTATTTCCCAAATCAGAAATAGCGGACTATTTGGCAATCTCGAGCTGATGAAGACAGGCCTGTAGATTGTTAAAAAGGTCTATCATGCCTTAATTGGAAAATAATATACATTATAACATGTTTGTATTTTGAAACATAATCTTTTATGTAAAATTTATTGCTCATTTCAGAAAGAGAGGGGGAAAAAAGAAGAAAACACCTTCCCCCTTTTATTCTGCTAAACAAATACTTGAAGCTGGGTGTAAACTCAAGTTTAGCCATGTTTAAATAATGTTAATGTGTATCTCAGTCCAAAAGGTTTCTGACTTTGGGATACACATAAAAACTCCCCAAGGTCTAGCTGCAGTTGACAAGTACCATTGAATTAACATGATCACATCAGCATTGCCCTTGCTCCTAATCAAAACGGTAGATCAGCTGACTATGTCCTCACCTTTCAGGGTCCAAGGTCAAGTCAGGGTCAGGTCTCAGGAGGGGACCAGGAAAAACTACAATGGGTGTTGTTTCATTCACGAACTGAAGTACATGTTGTACATTTTTTTCTGGTTTTGTGTCTTAAGTCCCATTAGCTTAAGATTTTGGGGGTTTTAAAGCCTATCTGCACAAGTTTGGTTAGGAGGGATTAGACCTCCCTGCATGGTCACTGACAGGTTGTTATCTCATCGAATCAGCTCTCAATTAACATAAGAAAAAGGGGATCATGGGGGACCAATGGGTACCGCTTAGGCATTGTTTGCTATAGAGAGGGCGCTTTAGCTACAGGTAGTACAGTGGGCTTTAAATGCTTTCAAACACAATAAATAAATCTTTGAATATATATATATTGGTGATACATGTATTTTGATGTTTGTTTCTTTTGTCTCCTTCTTACAGCACTGGTTGGACCCGACAAAAACTATAAAGAAACAAGTCAAAAGTGAGTAATTTTCAAGTCATAACTTGTTCCCTGTTATTATGCTCCGATGTATGTTGTTCATTTAGCCATTGTACTACTTCTGAATGATAAATTACAAACATGGATACTCATCCGTCCCCTTTATTCTTTTCTTTAAGATTCCATCTTTTAATCTTCATTTCCTTCTTTCTGTCTTGCCTTTTTATATTATTTTTTTTCTCAATAATTTTCTATCCAGTTTTTAATGACAATGAACCTTAGGTGTACACATTTTGTTTGAAAGTGGATGATCCTTTTTTTTGTAAGCTTCACTTTTAATGCTGACTTTAATTTCTCTTTTATTTTTTATTTTTTCAGTTGGCCCTCCTTACACAATCAGATTCCAAGTCAAGTTTTACTCTTCAGAACCCAACAACCTCCGCGAGGAATTCACAAGGTCAGTTTCTTAAATTTTAGCATGTTTTATCTTCTACCTAGGAATTTCAAAGATTAAGTTGTTTTGGTTTTCTGAAAAGGTTGTTCTTTAAATGAATTTGAAATATGAACTTGTTTGGTTCATGAAAAGGTTGTTCTTTAATCCAGAAACAGACAGGTACATTCTGAAGAGTGTTTCACAGATAGATGTTTTATGCCAAATTCAATTGATAAGAGTAATCCTTTTCAAAATGAACAAATCTTTGTTCATTATTTGGTATGTGCCTGAGTGAAAGTTTTTTTTAAACTTTCATTTACATGTAGCTTTTATAATGCAAAGGTGTACTTTGATAACATGTAAAAAGGGAAGTGACTTTAATCTTGACTGTTTTGCAAATGAAAATAATAAGTTGATTTCTAAATGATATACTATTTAATGTAAATAATAAGAAGTGGAAACGGTGACTCTTCAAGGTTCATTAACATTAAGTGTTAGTAAACCTAGTATTGGCATGGGAGGGAATAAGATCAGAAATATTTTGTAGCGAAACGATGGAATTACATCTGTGAATTTTGAATGAACCAAAGCATGTGAGCAGACTTCAAACAAATTTTACGACCCTCCTGTGCAAAGTCATGAATAAGTTTAAGGATACAAAGAATGAAAGCAGAACTAGGAATCGTTGAATGTGGCAAACATATCGAAACAGAACATGACACTGCTCTTAATAACATTTCCTTTCAAAATGTAGAGGTTTGTGTTTGTATTGTAACATGGTGGATCAAACATCACAGTATACAAAGGCAAGTTGTTTTCATTTTGACATAATTTATGATCAGTGTGTTTTCCTATCCAGCCCACCCATTCGCAACAAAAATAAACCTACATTGAAGTACACTTTTTCAACATGTTTTGCTGAAATAAAGTTTTTTAAAGACGAAAATCTCCAAATTAAATTAAAGGAGCATCTTCAAGGTACATGTAGCTTCATGTACAGTCAACTTTGCTTTTAATAGCGACCACCTGTATAGAAAGACCCAACCGTCTATAATGACCACATTTTTTGTTTCGTGTTGAATATGGTTTCTCACTGAAACCTGTACTAAAGGAACCTGTACATAGAGACCACCTGTCTATAAAGACCACATTTTATGTTTCCCCTGAGCGGTCTTTATATCAAGGTTTCACTATATTTTGCTTGTAGACTACACACACTCCCTGAGTAGTCCAATGTCTGACCATCAGTAGATAATCATATTGTGCGCCAAAGAAAGTTGCTGCTGCTGCATTGATATAATTAATAATTGATATTTATACTTTCATAAGGAATGGAAATTTCCTTTCTTTGATTATTTTGTCAATTTTTGTCATCATCCATCTCTATTTTCTTCTTTTCCAGGTACTTATTCTTCTCCCAACTGAAGGAGGACATACGGACGGGCAGACTGGAAGTCCAATACGATACGGCAGTAGAATTATGTGCACTCGCTTTGCAATGTAAGCAACTTTTTTTGCAGTGTAGAAATATCTTTTATTTATAATACCAGAGCTTTTTCAGTATTTGCTTAAGGAAACAAATAAAATTGGTGTTCCAAATATGTTTTGGTGTTTGCTTATCGCACAATGCGAGAAATTTACATACAATAACAAAAAAAGGTTTGATTTTTAAAAAAAATAATGAGACAATTAACTGCTCCTTTCTGCAGTTCTTAATAGGGGGATATACATACATGTACATGTACGAGTGGTGAAACATTAGCTATGGAGAAGTCCAAAAGAGCTATGGTAAAAAAAAATATTTAAAAAAAAAATTTTAAAAAAAATTATTAAATGACTGTGAGAAATTTGCTCTTTAACAATACGGACTCCCAAATAGTGCCTGTGAAGAGAAGAGTATTTCTTTATTGCAATGACATCATAGTCATACATATATATGACCTTGCCCCACTTATAGACGAATTTGTATTTATCTTGGAGTGGCTGTTTGTTATAATATCCTCATTTATCGATCTTGCTATGTCTGTCTCAACACGAGGGGGATAGGTTGGAGCCTGTAGTCCTTTGCTAGGTCTAATGTTGGATTAATCATGAAGCATTGCTTGATGAATCAACTGCAGCAATTTAAACAGTAGTTGAACAAAAATGGGGCTCCAATTAATTAGTGTTTCTGAATGTTAGTTTGATTCCAGATACATTCAAACCTTTATATAGTGAAACCTTAAATTTATATAAATCTATAAAGACCACTTTTCTTGTGTTATGATTATTATTATTATTATTATTCTTTCAGCCGAGTTAGGAGATTATGAGGAGGAGGAGCACGGCCCAGAGGTCGTTTCAGAATTTCGTTTCGTACCCAACCAGACGGAACAGATGGAGCTGGACATCACAGAACAATTCAAACAACTACAGTAAGCTTAAACCATTATTACTCTCATTCTTAAGGTCCTTTAAAAGCTCTTTAAAAAACACCTTTAGTGCCAAAGCTTTATCGAAATTCCATAAACCTAACTACATGGAATAGATGCAGCTGGATATCACCTACATTTTTTAAAAAATTAAAAGAAAAGAAATTATTCCATGTTGCTATTCATGTGCATGCACAGTTGAGATGGTCTTTGTGGTAAGTCTTCTGGCTTACCTTTACACTAGCCTTTATAGGTGGGTTGTTTATTTTTTTGTTTTTGTTTTGTATTTCTTTCCTTTTGGGGAGTGTTTTTGTGACATATAAGGCCTGTCTTCATCAGCCCGAATTGGCCAAATAGCCCACTATTTCTGATCTTGGAAATTAGCTGGATCAAGAAATAGCAAGCTATTTGGCAGGTGAAGACGAAAATAGCTGGCTATTTGCTTGGGATATCTTGGGCAAGTTTGCAAAGTGGCCCATTATTTGTGGTCCGTCTTAACTAGCCCGAAGACTCGCACTATGTGCGAACACTGAGCAAGTTTCTTGAGCTCGAGTTTCGAGCTAATGATGACGCAATTGGTAACTTCGGGCTAGTTTCTCAGATCACGAAATAGTGGGCTACTGGCCAACTCGGGCTGATGAAGACAGACCTAGAAAGCATAGAGCAAGCCAAAGAAGAGTGAATATTGGATAAAATGGTAGCCTCATAAGGAAACAGAATTGTGCAAAACTATACAAAAGATGAGTAAGGGATTTATAGAAATCTGCATGAACATCTAAAAATACATTTCTAGGAAATGGGGACAATTGGTAGTATTAAAATAGTAGGTTAAATACATTAGAAGCTAATTTGATCAATCCAAACCAATGTATGTGAAGACTGGAGATAAAATCCTGGCAATGAAGAGCAACCTTGAAATATAACTGGATGATGAAGAAAAAAAAAAAAACAGATTCACAAGACATGGCACATTACCTGCAATTGCAATCAAGTGAAACAAAGGCCGTTTTCCAATTTTTAATCCCTTTCTAAAAATGCGAGGAAAACTCGGTTTATCAATAGACACACACTTCCTGAGCATGAGGGTTGTTAGCAGAAATAATTATATTGTATCCCAAATCCGTTTAATTCCTGCTCTGATATCAAACAGAGACATAATTGTCACGTCTATCATTGCGGGCTAAAAATAAGTTGTTGAGTTTTTTTTTATTAAACATTGATAGTGTGACTAAGGGAGGCTGTGGATGAGAATTAATCCAAATGAGCTCTCGTGAAGTGATTCTAGATGATTAGACTCCCTGCCAGTCTCCAAGAGGTTTTATTTTTATCATGTCTTTTTTGCACTGTTGTTTCTCAGGATTTTTTTCTTCTTCAAGCTCATTCTTTAAATACCCCTTTCTCCTTCCATCAATATCCTTCTGGCTCTGTACTCTTCTCTATATCGCTTTTATAGCACACTTTCTTTGCCTCTATCTGCAATAGCTATGATCCCCCGTCTCTTTCTAGCTTCCTCACTCTTCCCCCGCCCCCCCCCCCCCCCCCCCCCCCCCCCCCCCCCCCCCCCCCTCTCTCTCTTTCTCTTTCTCTTCCTAATTTCTCTTACTCATTTTTTCTCTTTTCGTCTGTTTTTGTCTCATCTCTCTCTCTCTCTCTCTCTTCCTAATTTCTCTTATACTTTCTCTCTTTGTCTCTGTTTGTCTCATATCTCGCTCGCTCTCTCTCTCTCTCTCTCTCTCTCTCTCTTTATAATTTTCTCTTATTATTTTCTTTTTTCTTTTTATCTCTCTCTCTCTCTCTTCCTAATTCTCTTTCTCATATTTCCTCTCTCTTGCTCTCACTCTCTCTCTCTCTCTTTCTCCTTTTCTCTCTCTCTCTCTCTGACGCTTCTCACTCTCTGTCTCTCTGTCTGTGTCTGCTTCATCTCTCTCTCTCTCTCAACCATGTGTAATTCTTGAGATACCTTCAGCATTCCTGCGGCTGGTATGACATTGTAATGATGTCTAACAGCGTCACTCAGGATTGCATTCAGATGGAAAAAGAAGTCATGGAGAGTGTTAGATCTCCTTGTACCCTCGGCACGATAGGAACGCTGGTCCCTGTTTCATAAAACTTGTTATTAGTAACAAATCTTAAATTCCTGTAACAAATATGCTCTCAGCCAAATAAATTGCGGTGATTTCAGTAGCTTCTAAACAGTTAGTGTAACTAGTTTTTGATGACAAGTTTTATGAAGCAGGGCCCTGCTCATACTGGGGGAGTACATGCATGAGTGGCAGATCCAATTATTTTTCCACTGGACCCTAATAGGCAAAATATAACTAGTTCCTAGTTTCTTGCCCGCTCCTCCTCCTTCTCTCTTTTGGCCCACCTCATTTTTTATATCCCATTTTTGTTGTTGAATTAAATAAATAAGTACCTTAGTATATATAGACAATAAGATTAACAAAAATCATTAACATGTTGCAATTTCACCTTGTTTTAGAGCCTCTGTAGTTCATGTACAAGGGAAATATGAATAATATATACATACTTTTTGTTGATACGGACCCAGTGGTCCAAAGCAAATATTGGCAGAAAAGGAAGAATAATAACAGATGGAAAATCAAAGCATGTACATGTATGTCAAAGAGGAAATATAACAGACTAGCAATCAAAATATATTATATTTAAGCAATAATTAGCAGAAATACATGATGGAAAATTGAAAGCAGAAGAAGGAGAAGACGATAACATTCCGTGGATGCCAGGACATTCTTGTGGCTGTTTGTTATATCACTCCCAGCAGGATAGATCAGTGGGATGGATAGCCTTGGAAGTCACATGCTAGATCTCTTAAAGCCCCACTGTACTACTTGTAGCTACTTGCTCCCTCTATATAGAAAACCTAATGCCTAAGCGGTGCCCGTTGGTCCCCCATGATCCTCTTTTTCTTATGTTAATTGAGAGCTGATTTGGTGAGATAACCACCTGTCAGTGACCATGCTGGGTGGTCTAATCCCTCCTGGCCAAACTAGTGCAGACAGGTTTTAAGAGTTCACAAGAATAAGAAGAGCCTTACTCCATCAAAGCAGTTACATGTATATGTCAGGAAAACAAAAAGTCTGTTCAAACCTCAAAGTCAGAAAGCTGTTAGCTCTATGTTGAAGTATATATGGTAATTAGCAGCTCCTGATTTTCCATGTAAAGCAGTATGCGATTCGCACCATATTAAATCACAATGCTTTCCAGTTGTTTAACTGGTTATTGCAATATCTTGTTTGTAGTCAGGTTTATGCAATAGGCCATTTTAGAAATGTAACCAAATTTAATCATTCAAATTTGTGAAGTGCCTCAATATTAATTATTTCATTCACCTGTTACAAATAATTCTATCTCAATAATCGAATGCGAATTGCATACATTATTTTTTTGCTAGGTACATGTAGGAAACAAATTATGGTTTGCCCTACCCGAACAACAAGTAATATATGCAATTCCAATTCTGACTATTGAAATACATTTATTCTGAAATAATGAAACCATTTATATTCAGGTGATTCACAAAGACGCATGCATTAAATTTGGTTATATTACCAAAATGGCTTTAACATGTAGCATAAATCTGAATGGCCCCAAGTCAGTCAGTTTTGAGTTGGTCAGACAGTCTGACTGAGGTATATTTACGGTAGAAGAAAGAAGAAGTTTTCCTTTTTCCCCATTTTTTTCTAGAACTGCAGCTATCAAGGGTTAGGTTCTTTACAATGTTTTCCTATGCGATTGAACTCATTTGGAGCTTTTCAATCGAGATTCAAAGCCACATACAATGGCTTTTATTACCTAGCCTCCAGTCTATTTTCAATTCTAGCCTTACTTCCAAGCGTATTAGTAACTGGTACATAATAAAAGTAACGTCATTGGCAAGGACCTGTTCTAATTATGTATACTGCCAGTCCCAGCCCCTTCCTCTATAATCCCTTTCCTATCTTAAAGTCTTGAGATTTTCATTTTTTTTTCTTCATTTTTTGTAAAACCAAACACAATTAACCAATATTTTTAATTTGTTTAAATGCATTCTTCTCATGAATCTAAGGCTACATAACCTTGATTAATATAGAAGGTGGAATAGTGCAGTCTGTGTACAGTATAAATGAATAAATACAGTCACTGTACATCATGGGTAAAATACATGTATTTATACACTGGAAAGGATTCATTGATAGATGTCGTCAGTTGTGTTTTATAGAATTAAATTAAATGCAAGTTGACACTCCTTTCTGCATATAATCAAAGAAAGTTATGTGTAAGCATCCTGATTTGTAAAATTGTAGTTACAACTGCAAGGACAGTATTAGGTTGTTGGGTACATGTACTTGGGGAGATTTGATTTGATTTGATTTTAATTTTGTAAGATTAGTAGAAGTACCTTCTTCAGGACAAATTCTGACACTTCATGATTTAGCTCAATAACTTATGACTCAGAGTTTTAGAATTGTACAATATAACAAATTAAGGAGCATGAGTAAAGGAGTAAACATCGCCATTGCACACATTGACTCTATATGTAATATCCATGGTAGTATGTACATGTAGTTACCATATGGTGTCTGTCGCTGAGGAAATTTAAAAGGGAAAAAAGCTTTAAAATCCTTAATTTGGCTTGACACTTTACAAAGTTAGTTTTTGCTCTGTAATTGCATGTCATTAACCACCATCAGACTAATAGAAGGTGTGCATCGTTGCTGGGTTGCTAAGCAAGACGGAAGGGTGTTTCAGTGATGTATTTGTGATGGGACCTGTTAAGTCCGCTCCCTCATATCGCTGAAAAGGACAACTACAGTAGCATTTTACAAAACTGTCGGTACTCTCATTATATTAAGTCAAAGATCATGGACATTTTAAAGAAACTTGGATTTCATTTAAAAACATGTCTTTCTTAAATGGGGTGTCCTCAAACTTAAGTCTTTTGATGGGTTTGTAAAACTGGTCCCAGACTAATAGTAGTCTTTAAAAAATATATATATATA